AAAGTTTAGTTCTTTTGTTATTGACTTCTTATGTATTTTAAGTAGATTACAGCATGAACTTCCGTAAAGATGGTGGTACTTGACTAAGCATTTAATTTGGTTACTAAGGCATCGCTTTGTGCTATTATCAAAATCTAAAATTAGATGTTACTTTACATTAAAATCTAAAACTTCTAAGGATGTTAATATTTTTTGTCAGTCGTTAACCGCTTGAGAAATATTTGCTGGCTTAAACTTACCGAGAATGTAACAGTTTTAACATAAAATTTTATACTTCGGGAACCACTGCTGGTCAATGTACCTCAGTTTCCAGTTGAATCTCAATTTCGAAATTTTTGCTGTGTAATATATGCACGTAGTACAAATAAGTGGCAAAATTTCAGAATTTTATCTAGTCCCCTACCAGAGATAATTAACACTAAAGCGTGAAAAAGTTACGGAAATAGGAATATTTGAGAAATTATAGAAAAAAAAGGATTCAGTCTCAGGCTTGAAACTTATCAGTTAACTAAATTGGCATGTACTCTATCAACGAAAGAAAGAATTAAGTTCAAGATTTTACCCCTTCTTGAAAAAATTTTCGACTGAACTTCTCATTTTTCTTACAATGAAAATACAATTTGTAGCTACTGGAAAAAAAGTAGGATAAAGGTGTGTAAGGTAGTACTTGGAACTTGTGCTTTTATGAAAAAGATGCTTTTTGTCCCATGTTGCTGTGATTAGTAGACACTGGGATATTCTTATTTCCACGAACCCCCGGAACCGCAAGAAATAACGTTCCGCACGACACAAAAACGGTTCTTACATGCAAACAAACATTTATTTACATGCACAAAAAATGAGATTTTATAAAAATGGTCGAGCAATGACATTAGACAACTTTGCTTGGAATGACCCGAACATAACTCGCACTAACACCTAACCCACACCTAGCCAAACATTTACAGAACTGTCGAATGTAGAATATGCAAGATTATTACGTTATGAAAATCAGATTTAACAGTAAATCAGTGAAAGCTTTCAACTGTTACTACTTTCAAACATTCCTTAAGACATTCTTAGGCACTGTACAATTTTTCGCGGCCAAGAATAGCACAACAATATAAGAACGAAGTAAATGTCTTTTTATAGACGAAGAAAAATAGATACTGTGTTGATATAACGAGTACAGCATTTATAATATAATCATGTGATTAATCGGCACCCAAAAAGCCGACTAATTGGCTGGCCAATATATTTTTTTTGTCTATGAAAAAACTGAATTCCATAAGGTTTGAAATCGAGTTAGAACAATTTAGGCGAATTAAACTGATCCAGGCGACATTCCTAAACTTTAAACTCATTTATCTAAAAAATATATTACAATGTTCACTAAAATTTTGTTAATTGTTTTTAGATATTGAGTGTTCATTTTAATGATTCGCACAATCTTTTAGCTATTTGCCATGTTGTAAAGAAAGTTATTAATCAAATTTGATACATATGCGTTGAGATGAAAAAATATAACGATAACAAACATTTCCAAAATACATTATTTTTATAGTGAATCCGAGGTCAGCTTCAGTTTTTTTAATTTGAAACATAATTTTGTTGCATTATATTGTAGAGAACATTAAAACGGATCGAACGAGTACAAAATATGACACTTTTATTCACATCATACTACATTACCAGCAATAGAGTAGTAGAACGAAAAGAAGCACAGAATCGAAGTGCTCTACGCTTTTGCCGATTCGTCAACCTTCGAAAGCTTTCCACTTTCACGGCTGTAAATGTAGTATTGTGTAAATAAAAATGTCACATTTTGTACTGGTTGAATTCGTTTTAATGTCCCTTACAATATAATGGGGAAAAAATTATACAATTCCATTTAAAAAAAACTCAAAGTGACTATGGGTTCACTGTGAAAAAATGTATTTTCGAAACGTTTATTATTATTTATAATGTTTCTTACTATATGTTGTCCACTCGACACGGATAAAGTTTCGTTCACAACTTTTTTTATTACATTGTCGTGAACATTTGAAAAATTGTGTGGACATTAGCATGAACATCCTGTATACTGTATGTAAATGTAGTGTATGCATTATTGTATTGAAATGCACGTCGGTTAGTACCGAACTTCTTCTCTTCAACTTATAACGTGTGTCTTATACACTAAGCAGAGACGAAGATTTTTTATGTACATTCAACAAAGCAATGGATTTCTATTTACATTCTTGGCAGCAAATCGAGAATCGAGAGTTTTATGATTGAAAAGTATTAAAAAAACATGTTATAGTACATTCTGTGTGTATGAGTACTGGGCACTTTATTGAAAATAGTATTAACAAATAGTCGCGATAAATAATTACTTAAATGAAAATTATAAATGAAGATCTAGAAATAAATTTCAATATTTTACTGTATACCCTGATAATCAGTTGTATGCAAGTTTCGAGCAAACTACCAGTAAATAATGACAAAATTTGTTTAAAAAACCATAGCTATCTGTTTCTGCATTTCGCTGGGGTTTTGCAGGCGAAACCTGCTGACAAAATGGTAAAGCAAATTGACAGCAAATTAGCAGCAAGTCTTGCAACACAACCCAAGCTAACTAACCTAGGTCAATTTATAACCTAGGCTATATTGCAAGACTTGCTAATCTGCTGTGTTAAAACATTTCACACATCCCCCCTCCCCTTCCACTCGCGCACACGGACACAAAACTTATTTTAACAGCTGATATGTCTAAGTCAACAACCTATTCAAATGTCTTTGTTTCACTGATATGCATAAAATTATAGGGCATTTCACGTGAAATCGCATACTTTTTGGAGTAACATATCGGATTTTGTTAACACTTGGATATGTTGTAGTCTTTAGTGATATACAGTGAATCACCGCAGTATTCGTACCCTCGGAATTCTTGAATTCAAATGGCTTAATAATTCTTTAACAATATATATTCTGAAATATTTATCAATAGGGATATGTGGTGCAATAACTAAGCTTTCGAATGATGCGTACTTCATTGGAAAATAACAAATCACGGTAACATAAATGAAATCTCATAGTAATATAGTCACATATTACATAAATTTATCGTGATGTAAATGAATCTCACAAAAGTATCAAGAGTAATCATAATATTTGTAATTATTTGTAAATTTCCTGTGGCCCCTAAAACTGTACGAATTAGAATACCTTTATCAGATTAAATTTTCGATGATTTGCTTCAGTTTCCGTTTACATATATTACTATATTCCATTAAAGATATACAATATTAATATTATTAGAAAGGTTACTTATTGCACGTGTATCCTTATTGATAAACGTTTCAGAATGTATATTGCTAAAGAATATTAATCACCCAAATTCAAGAATTGCGAGAGTACGAATACTCCCGTGACTCACTGTATAAACGTATCTCGAAGACTTTCTGAAAATTTTTAAATTGTTGATTCTACAGCTATATGAAATATAGTGTCAACGTTTTTTCAATAAATCATAACTGTTGAACTAATAAACCGATCAAAACGAGCTTTGTGGGTGCTTATAGTGAAGACATAAGAAGCTTATATTGAAGACATTTATTTTACAATTGTTTTAAAGAAATGCAATGTTGTAATAGCGGGGCACGATTTAAAAATTAAAAAAAAATGAATATATAGCCCTATTTGTCCTCTTTACGGACAAATTTTCGAAAATATGGACACTTTAAAATTGGTCATATGAAAATTAATTGAAGTTAACACTGCGTTGAATTACATAGGCTCGATCGTCCAAGGTGTATGGTACTAGGCTAACTGGTACGGCTCGGCCGGTCGAACCGGTGTAATTTCAATTAATTTTCATATGGCCAATTTTAAAGTCTTCATATTTTTGAAAATTTTTTCATAAAGTGGAGTACATTTTGAATATTTTTCAATTTTTTTAATAGTGTCTCGCTATTATAACATTGCATTTGTTTCAAACAATTGTAAACTTCTATCTGAAATAATTTTGATTAAGTACCGTTATGTCTCTACTATAGGCACCCACAAAGCTGGGAAAGAGGTTGATGCTATATTTCAAAGAGCTGTAGAATCAACAGTTTAAAAAATTTTCCAAAATCCTTTAAGATACGTTTATACATCACTAAAGATTGCAACATAAGTATCCAAATGTCAACAAAATCTGAAATGTTACTCCAAAACGTGTCCGATTTCGCGTGGAATGCTCCTTATCTATTAATGTTTCAGTTAGATTCCAAGTAAAATGAAAACTGCATTGAATACAATTAAACTTTTTAGTGAATTTGACAGTAGTAAATAGATGATTATAACAATAATATGTGTTATAAATGCAAAAATTTCAGTCAGCGCAAGCTGTTCCAGAAAGAACGGATCTATTTTTACAAAACTATTTTTGTATGACATCTTTAACAATCAAGGTACTGTCCATTTAAATAGTTCTATTGAAAGGGGACACATTGATGAGTATGTATTACTAACTTCTTGGTGCAACGCTATATCTTTATCTTTTACAGTATTTATTTGGTCAATTAAAGCATCTGAATATTTGTAATCTTATGGGAATAGTGCCTCGTTAAACAATTTTTATTTTTCATTAATAAAAACATTTACAGCATTAAAATCTACACAGCAATGCAGTTACGGTCAGTTACAATTTTCCTTGAAGCAAGAAACACATTTCTAAGCAATAAAATGCGACAGAGACTTTATATTTAACTTTAACTAACACATTGAAGTTACTCAACATTGGCTCAAAGAATATAGTAAATATTTACATCTGAGTAGGGCTTCTCAAAGAAATTGTTCTGATGAAGATCACCTTCATTATTATAAATATTATGTAAAAATTCTATGATAAATGTAGTTTGCTTATTCTCTAATGAGACGGCATAGTTATAACACGTATTGTATTTCATACAAGCGTTTTTACCAGCTCTATAAATATTTCAACATATATTAATAACACATTATGTATGTTTCGCTATGAATATTTAAAAGGATACAAAGAATAATAACACTTGATGATGTTTAACAGCACCAATAAGACCAAGTATTGAAATAAGAATTAAAATCACACCACATGCTAAAATACCTCCAATTATAGGGAGATTTGTAACTAGTGCAGATGCTCTTCCATAAACAGCAACACCGATTAGAATAAATGCAACAACCTGAAATTATAAGGTCATTTATCTTCAAATAATTCAGAAATATACTCAAAAATCAAATGATATTTATGTATCTATATATCTTATAGATGTTAAATCGTAATTATTTGGATAGATTATAAAATGCATTAAAAAGTAGTAATTTGGGTATACTAATGTTTAATAATTAATGATAGATACCTAAGATAATGCAAAAATATTTAAATTAAATAAACAATTCGTCTCTTTGAAATACATTTTCTTAATGAGCACTATAAAGTAAATAGTTCACAATAAATAATAAAAAAAAGTTGAACAATTATTTTAATCGTTTTATATGTATTACAATCTCTCATGAAATATATAAAAAACTTTACAGTGCAGTATCATTAAAGTTAAAAGCTGCTTCTACTTGAAGTGGTGTTGTCAATTCTGTTTCCGGAAGTTCTGCTTACGATATAAAGTATGTTTAGCGCCGTCAATGCGTTTTTGGAGCAAGTAAAGCCGCCACACATCTTTGTATATGGGCTTTGTTGTCTTCGGTGTGTTCACCCGCAGGAGTTCGTCGAGTTCTAGAATCACAGTATTCTGAGAATTCCCACAGTTTGTTATTAATACCACGAATTATCAAGAAAAATGCATGCGCGTTAACTGGTTAGCACTGATGTCAGATAGTTTGTGACTGCTCGCACTGCAACACTTCGAGAATATTCGACTTCGATCTCTCGAGATTTCGTTGTACCGCGCAAAACAAATCTATTCCTATTCGTACACATGTTATAATTTACATTATGTACCCGTAATACAACTACTATTTATGATAAACACTTCCAGAATTTTAATTACACTAATTAATCACTTCCTTTCATTACTCTATAACATTCATTAATGTGGTTATGAATGGTAAATAAATAAATGTATTTAATTACAATGTAAATAGAGAGAAAGAGAGAGAGAGGGGGTGTTTTTAAAGTTACAACAATAGTTATTCCAAACGTACTAAGATTACAAATTTGATTTTATCCTGTTTCTTATCATTTGGTTTCTAAAAGATGTTTCAGAATAGGTGGCTCATCGTGTCTGGACAATATCGCACTGAAGTTATATTACGTTAATTGCACACGTACTCTACTTTAAGTAAATTCATTATTATTAATGTCATTAGAAATATTAGCAATTAATGATTTTATAATAATCAGAAAAACATAAAACACGAAATATGTTAAACTATATGTATATAGTTTTATTCAATCTAATATTTCTGTTATGTATTGATATTTATTTATTACAAAGATGAAAATAACAAAATACAAGAAAATAATATTCCATTAGTTTTATCGAATGAAATTGTAAAATGTACTCGTATAATGTCTACTTATTTATCACGTAAACACTATTTCAAAATTTTTTATCAACATTATGATAAAGTTTTTCTCGTAATACGTACAGGGTTATACATTTAATCTTTTCAATTCTAGAAAACATCCGTATATTCATTCTCTGATAATTCGTGATTTATCGTTATGAATATGAAAAGTTACGTATGTATGAAACACTATTATAGAAGTCTGATGAATATAGTCTGATTGAAAACAACACCCGCATAAAAACATAAGTTGATATTCACATAAGTAAATTATTATTTTCGAAACCAGAATAATTATAAACATATTGTCGAACGAAAGTTACAAGACGAAAAATGAATGTCACATGTTAATACTGTTTTCTTCATAATTGCAGGTGTTTACGACATATAAAATTTAAAGCATTGAATCGATAATTTTATCGATTATTTGAAATGTTTCTTGTGAACAAGTTTCATCTATTGCAAAAACTTATTCTGATATAGAAATTTAAAACTTTTTTATGATTATGCTTACCATAAGCGGATTTATATTGTGAATTGTTGTGCCGATGTCAAAACACCTTCAAATGATAAAAAAAATATGTATTACTCTACTCAAAAGATCAAAATTATTTTGATCACCTAAGTTGTTATACCTACACACAAAGAAAACTGTATAATTATCTAATAATAATCACTCTAGGATAGTGTATTTTGATAATGCTTTAGTTTCAAATATAGTTAGTTGTCCATTCTGCATTACATATATGTATATTCTACGCTGTAGCGCACGAATCGGGCGAACAAGAGCGTATCTCTAGTATACATAAAAGTGATAATATAAGTGAAAATATTCGTAACACATTTATTAAACATTTAAATTTAAATACTCACAAAGTGAATTTTGTTGTTAACGAAATTTTACAATGCTAAATGATAATTTGTGCTTGCCAATTTTAAGTAAGACTCAGCGTAGAATGTTCTTTGTTCTTCCAAAGATTGATTAGACCTCACACCGAAACAAATATAGGCGCCATAAATGTACCGTGATAACAAGTGCCAAGATTACATTTTCTTCATGCAAACTGCAGACTAAACGCGCCAGATATCACATAGGCGAGTATTTCCTGTATAGAATGTAGAATTCCTTGAAAATAATTGGATATTTTCAGAATTCATCTCTCACAAATTATTATCAATATGCCACCAAATGCACTTCTAATGCAATTACTTTTCATAAAAATATTACTGTAGTATCTATGTTACGAAACACAAGGATAATACGAAGGATAAAAACGAAGTAATAAATGCAGGGACAAAAAATTTATGTTTATAATTTCGAATACCAGCAGTAATAATCTTTCTAGAATAAGTTTTAAATGTAATTCTGTATTTCTTTATTTTACCTATATAAGACATAACATATATTTGTTAAGATAAATACAGTAAGCTAAAAACAACAAATTCTAAAAACACGAAACAAAAATATATATTTAGTGGTAAATTATTCATGAATTATTATAATTTAATTAATTTTACGAACAAAATATTTCGATAGGAATTATATAAAAACTTAAATCGAGATAACATAAAAAATAAATATTGATCAAATAATGTAGATTTTATCAAGAAAACGTTAGCCTTCTTCCATGTTTTCTACATCTTCCGTGTCTTCTTCATGGCTACAATTTGATAAAAGATTTTTTGCGCCTTCTTCAAGTTCGACAGATGGAGTTGGCCATTGCGATCTCAAATTCGAAATAAAAGGATCTGATGATATTAGCAAGTTATGCATCAAGTCTTCATTTGTTATATACCTCGAACATTTTCTTGTGTTAAATTGCCGAAATCTTTTGAAATCTTTGTTTCTACATTTCTGGGCTTTTTGCGACATCTGACCAATCGGCAGACTAGTCGAGTTTAAAACATCTTTCCCGTGAACTAAAATTTTGTGTACTGATGAAGGCATAAAACACCATTCATATTCCTTAATAAAATGGCAAACAGATTGCTGTGCGCTGCGCGCTGCAGCCACCTCAGCCACTGTCGCTTACAAAGTAAAAGCGGATTGACGCCGAAATCGCAGATGATCGCACCTAATTCCTTTCCGAATTTGTTTACTACATTCTTACTTACACTCGAAATTAAATAGCACTGGTTTGGGAAGATTCGGAAAAGATTTATTTAGTAAGAAATAAAAATAAAAATGTAAAAAACACAGGTTACGCTTTTAACTGCCTCCAATATTTTCGACCTTTATCAGGTTCTATAATTATACATTAAATTCATATTTTAGACGTATCTGTTTGTGGTAAACTCGATAGATACTCCAAATTTTCAACCATTGTAGAGTTATGTTTTAAATATTATGATGTGTCCAAAGTTTGTCTGTTTTACGTTTTCCGCTATTGCCAACTTTCAGTTAAGATTTCACGCAAAAAAAATACTTAGAGAAGAAAGATCTTTTTAAAATCCCCAAGGATGTTTCTACTAAAGTTTTCATCAAACTTTGTCAGAATAAAATATTGAAAAAACCGAGTTTTGGCCGCAATTCAGGCATTTGGAACCATCGTGTGGCGGTGTTTATTTCACTGTACGGTCACTAACACTGTCCACTTGTCAGAATCATATTATTTACTTTAAATAGTTTTGTTAGTTATCGTGTTGCTCCTATGTTAATTTATTGTTATAGAGGAATGTGTTGTTCCTTAGTGAATTTATTGTTATAAAGGAATGTGTTGTTCCTACGTTAAGAAAAATACCAAAATATTCGTGCGACGAATACATGTTTCACCGTCACTGAATGTCACGAGATACTGTCTGTGATTTTTCCTAAGGAGCTTCTTCTACCCCCAAAACTCCGTTGTAAAACTTTAGGTAAGAATGTGTTTAGACCAATGACAATTTAGGACGGTTTCCCGATTGTGGACCGCCTACGTCACGCAACTCGCAAGATACGAGCGGCCAAAAAACCAATACACAATAACTGCTTTTCTCTAAACACCCTTGAAATCCCATAAATTTACCAGCGAGAGTGTCTGTAGGCCATCAATAGCCGAAAGACCCACCGTGGTCTTTCGCGACCGTGCAACGCCACGTCTGTTTTGTCTCACGGACACTCCTTCAAGATCGCACGTAGGCTAAAAACCCTTGTAAATTCTCCAACGGTCCCTGAGCTACAATGTGTTTTGCAGAAGTGCCATCGTACAATTTCACAAAAGAAAGAATTTGTTCAAGGAATACAGCCTTTTGCATTTCATTATTTTCGTGAAAATGGCTTGTGCTTATGAATTTATATCTCGAAAACTATTTATCGTATTCAGTTGATTCTTATATCGTTTCAATCCATAAGGAGTAACCTTTGTGAATAAATTTCTTTCAAGTCAAAAAATCATTTTTAAATTCAGTAAGGTTAAAAACAATATGAAAGTGTTAATGATAATTTATAATTTACACACATATAAAAAAATAATAATATAATTATAACGTATAGTGTAATTAATAATTAAACAATTAAATATTTATACTTTCTTTGTTTTTTATATTTATATTATTTTGTACGTACGGAACTCCAGATTATTTCAATGAGATGAAAAATAATATCGTTAGGAAATCATAAAAATAAATGATCATAAAAAAAAATATAAAACTATAATATATAAAAATATGTGGTTCCAAATCACCCCAGCAACCCCTCATTTCTCGGAAGAGAGACACTTTTAAGACATCCTGTATAGGGCCTGTGAGCATGTCTTGTGAAAAAAGGAATTGTCTTGAAGATGTCTTAAAACGGTCCAGTTATCCACCTTAAAGAGGCTTACAACCGTTTCAGTAGACGTCTTTTGGAGGTAATACAGATGTCTTACAGATGTAACTGCACATGTTTCATTACGACGTATTATTTCAGACAGCTTTAAAACGTCTATATTAGATCCTAGGACGTTCAGACCTAAAACAGCCGTAAAACGGACGTGCTGAAGGCATCATGTGCTATCTGGGATGTCAGAAGTATTTTTTTAAAAGTGTAAGTATAAACGTTATTAAACGCTAATAAGCTTGCTTTATGATTTTAAGATACCAGACATATTTAATTTTATTATGTGACCATTCTTGTAAAATGAACTTATACGACTTTCAGAAATAATAAATTGTCAAAAACGCAACTACTACCAAATTTAAATTTATATTTCAATCGAAGCAGACTTTTCTGAAATCTAATTCTAAAACATACACAATATAAATGATTATAATGAAAACAACAAGGGTATATTGTAGACTGTAAATATATATTCATTTAAAATACATTTTTATGAGAATTTTATTATAATACGTTTAATAACAGAACAATCTGAAAAAAATGCACGTATAATCGTAAAGATATATAATATTAATAACTTTTACTCATATTTTATTAATTTTGCTTCGTAGAAAGTATCTTGAAATATTCGTGATGAACAGGGAGTATATAAAATCATCATATCGTTATATTTGTCAAATGGTAAAGTATCAAAGGATATCCATAATAATGAGAAACAGACGTATAATACGTTGTAGTCAAGTAGTAATAGCATGTGTGACGCACTATGAAAGCTAAATTCTCAACTAGAAGCGAACCCACAAAGGTACACTTTTACCGCTCGAAGTGTACCGAATTCTTAAAAGTTACGAGGCCCATACTAACAATCCTAGTGGCTCCCTGAGATGAAATAGGCTAGGGTTCGTCCACGACTACCAACCTCCTAGTGGCTCCCTGTGATGAATAGACACAGGTTCGTCCACGACTACCAACCTCCTAGTGGCTGCCTGTGATGAAATAGGCACAGGTTCGTCCACGACTACTAACCTCCTAGTGACTCCCTGTGACGAATTTGGCACAGGTTCGTCCACGACGTCTAAACCATCCTAGTGGCTCCCTGATATAAAATAGACACAGGTTTGTCCACGTAACAAACTCTAAAAACCAAACTCGCCATTTCCTCAGCTCTCGCAGCCGCTTAGCCCTGGCTCGTAACACTGCAATACCACGAATTTCTTATAAACGCTACACCCGTTACTAGCGAGGTCTTAAAATTTTATTTATACAACTTCGATGCATGCAGTTTATTCTGTTCATCTTACGACTTACAAAATTAAAATATCAATACAACATTTACAATGCAACAACTGCTCTAATGGTAAATATTATTTTTCCGCGGTAAAACAATTGTTTTGTAACAAGCTGGTGAAACAATGATCGTTGAAATTGTTAGTAATGTAAATATTATCTACTTTGAAAGCTGTGACTGAAGATAAAAAAAATGTTGTACGCAGTAAATATTGAATGTGTTGACGCTTAAATTAAGTTCATATATACAACACACGTACAAGATTAACAAAATACTTCCCATTAATAATTTTAATTATCTTGGTCTTCTGGAAGATATTGTTATATCCTAACGCGGAGAAGAATGTCAATAATTAATTTAGTTGTAATTACGTAGAAATACATTTTTCATACCAGAGATTTTTAACATTGATTAACAATAGTTACCGTGATAGGAAAGATTACTATATTCATAGTTACATTGCCTTTGTTGCCAACAAATTGGACAATTGACATTAGTAGAAATGAATTAATGTATAAGCCAGTAATATCTATTCACTAATTGAATTTTACTTGATTATTATTTTTACTCATTTTTTTTTCAACTGATTTACACAATGATAAATCTAAACACTTTGAGAAAAACATTTTATGTCCGGTAGTTAAAGTATTTTGTTTTCTTTTTACTGTTTTGTGTACTTTTGCTTTTCACCTCTTCTTATGTATCGCGAAATTTGAAACGATTTTTATGAATGAGGAAGAGGGGATTGTCTGAAATTTAATCGTGATAAGAGCCGCGCTGATAAACTGACGTATAAAATCGAGTACGGCGTGATTAAAACCCCATTCTGTTTATAATGTGTTAAAAAGAGGCACGAAGAACGCTAGTGCGTAGCCGTTGTACTTTCTGGTGGTATCGTCACGTTCCATCGCTATCTCTGTAAGCATTGTATCAACAAGACATACATAGTCGATCAGAGCTTAATGTAAATTTTCCACACTTTATTGTTGCTCTGCTTTTCTTATCACGAGCCAAGTTCCAAAATATATTATGCGAATACATAACACATGTTGGATTTTATGTAAAATGTAGTCTGTAGTATAAATAATATAATATAATGCCATATAATACTATAATGTAATACAATTTCCATTTAAATTTCTATAATCAACCTGCGTTTTAATATATAAAATCGTAACCACACAGAAATTATTAATTTTTTAATTTTACTTTTATGTGTAATATACTGAAGGAATGTTAATACATTTCAGTCATTCAAGGAGAAATATAAACCATGGACGAATCGCGCATTAAACGGTGGCCGCAATATTTAGCAGCGCTTACAGGTAATTTCAGAAATTTATTCAATATAAAAGTCACTAAAAATTAAATCTTTTAGTCGCAATAGAAATATTTGGTTTATAAACTTCATGTCTCATGGAAAAACATTAATTCTTACATTACAAAAAATTGTAATAACAGCGACGCTATAGATATTGGTAGAAAAAACATGCCGAAAGCATTTTCTTTTTAAATTCCCCAGTAAGCCATATTGCATGTTTTTAGGGCTTTTAATTGGGAACATCTTTATATCTGCGTTATTTATCGTCGTACGGAAAATCTCTTTAAACTGATAAAGTTTATAAATAATAAAATTTAGTTTATAAATATTGAATTATAAAGTTTATAAGAATTAAAAAAATATTAAAAGGATAAAGTTGCATTATTCTAAGGAGCACATGTAACGATGAAAATATTTTTTCTGAAGGTCATTTTCTAATGTGATCCTATGATCATTGATGTTTTTTTATTGGATTTAGATTTTTTCCCATATACTTATACATATAGAGAGTAAAATGACAAATTCGATACCTATAAGAATATATCGTTCCGTTCATCCAATTTCAAGGTGTTTACATTTTACTTAAATGTTCCGAAGTTACATGTCATGTTCAAAATGGCAACCTCTTTCGAATGGTGGTTGCATTGATGCAATAATGAAGTCTTGTAATAAATGATGTATATAGATTTCTTATTTCCTGTGGCGTAATTGAAACATATGCTACAGTAATTCTTGTATTTTCTGGGGTCGTAAGTTTGTTATAATTCTGTACAGTACGTTATTTACAATGGGTGCAAACCGTTTTGTATATTTATTATGATTGCAATGCGTTAGTTTTGGGATAAAATAGAGGAGTTTGGTGGAGGGAGGAGGAGGGGGGTAAAGTCATCACTTTGCTGGAGTCGCATTTGTTTAAGAAAAAACAGATCGTAAAGTTTGCAATCTTTACCTATTTTCATGCAACGGGTGTATTTATGAATTTTTATCTTGGCAATTATTTATTATATTAAGTTCGTTTGTGCTTTGTTTTAATCTAGGTTTGGATTATTTTAATACAATTTTTTTTACATTGAAAAATCATTTTTATAACAGGGAAAATTATAAACATGTTTCTCGTTTGTAATTTCCCTCTGAAGGTCGAGTGTGATCGCTCGGCAATTTCAACATAAAGAATGTCATACGTTATAAAATTATACAGGATTTATATTACTTCCGAACTTTTAGAAATTTATCTAACAATGAATAAACTGAATCCCGAGGAAAAACCAAGATGCAACAATTTTTTAGATCTATTTGTTCTATTATTTTTATATAATTAATACAAAAATTTTATATAATCATATAAATAAACATGATTTAATTAATTTCCTATCTTAAACAGTAATTATGAATACTATCATATTGCGGTCATAATAAATATACAAGACGCTACGTTTGAAGCCATTACAAATAATGTATTGTACATTAATGTTATCTAGGTGTACTACTATAATTATTTAATACCTATAAATACATTCTGTGATATTCAGACGTCTTCGCTCCGAAAATGAATGAAAGTAATTCGTTGGACAGAGGGTATTTTCAAAGGAGAAAGAAAATGTGAAGTGCTTCGAATAGAGAGAACGGAGACAGAGAAAAGAGGGTTGTGAAGTGCGTAGGGTAGACGGCTTCGTGTTTACTGATTATACAGTGCCCGATGCCCTTAGAACACCGTTTCTTAAGGGGGGGGGGGATTCTACCTTATGGGTTCTAAAAAGTAGGTAATATTTGCGAATTTTTTGTGAAAAAACTGTTAGACAGATTCATTTGAAATTTGTGGGGTTGTTTTATTGTAATTTTAACTATTGTTTTTAATTTTTGTGTGGCGATACAAAAAAGTTGTGCATGTATAATGCGCCGATTGCAAAACATTGAGAAAAAATCGGCTACTTGTGGCGTTGAAGGAAAGGATGCTATGGTTTATTTGAAACACAAAAAAGAAATGAGATTCTTAATCTGTTTGAGTATGGCTATCTGTGGAACTAGAATTATTAAGAGAAATGAAAAACTGTTAAAATGGTAGCTTTTCAAAAAGGAAAGATCGTATTTCGTTCAAAAATTACAAGAAATTCGTTAAACAAAAAAAGAACGCTAATAGATACAGCAATAATTCTAGTTCCACAGATAGCCATACTCATACAGATTAAGGATCTAATTTCCTTGTTGTATTTCCGATAAACCATAGCTTCCTTTCCATAAACGCCAAAACTAGCCGATTTTTTCTCAACGTTTTGCAATCGGCGCACTATACACGTACGGCTTTTTTATATCGCCATACAAAAATTTTAAATAATAGTTAAAACTACAATAAAACAAACTCACAAATTTCAAATGAATCTGTCCAACAGTTTTGTTTTTAAAATTCGCAAATATTACCTACTTTTTAGGACCCACAAGGTAGAACCTCCTTAATTCTTAGATACAGTAAATTCTTGATAAATGCTCGCATAGGGAGTTCTCCTTTGGAATCAGTTAAGATAGTAATATAACATGCTGGAGACTTCCCTTTTACAAGCCAATGCACCGTGGTACGAATTGCGGAAAACGCGATAAAAAATCCTTACGTTTATATTTTACTGTTATGCTAAAGTTAAGTCCAGTAGGGGGGGATGTCGATAAAATAATTTTGATTCGTTTATATTATTGGAAATTAATTACAGCATCAAATTTAAACAAAAACCAGCAGATATGACGATTTTATGAGAGAAAATGATATTGAGCACGCGGAGACTAAAAAGTCAATAGTATGTATAAAATCACATTATGTATAAATGAAAAAATTTTCATTTATCCATAGAATAAAGTGATGCATTCATTTTATGCTATTAACGTATATAAATAATTGTCAATAACAGAAATATAAAAAATTATGGGACGGTCATAATTAATCGCATATTGCATTTTTGGAATCGAAGCAAATCCTTGAAACTTATATTATTCGATAGCCTACAGTCTACAGTAGAATGAATGTAACTGCAAAAGTTGAACTTGGAGAGACTTGGGAGTAATAACCAATTATTATTGGCAATCATTACGCGGCGTAGTGCGACGCGAAATAAGTATCTATCTATGTCTATGCCCAGTCAACATGTTTCTATATTCCTGAAAATATTAAGAAAAACATATTTAAGTAAAATAAAAAGTGACAATACTTAAATATACAAATATATAAATATAGAAATATACAAGTTCATGTTAACTTACCTTTCATTCTAAGAACCAATGACGACTTATTTCACAAACTATTATTTAGTTCTGATCTGCATTTAAGTTCGTTTGTAATGAAAAAAAAAATAGAAATGTGCCAAATCAAGAAGTTATAGAATTCATTGTATTTGCAGTAACTGATGTAGAATCAGAGGAGAACACAGAAGAAATGGAGCACACGTTCTTAGAATGAAAGGTAAGTTAATATGAACTTGTATATTTCTATATTTGTATATTTAAGTACTGTCACTCTTTATTTTACTTAAATATGTTTTTTCTTAATATTTTCAGGAACATAGAAACATTGCTGCCAATAATGATTCGTTATTGCTCCCAAGTCGCAAGGACGCGCAAGTTCAACTTTTGCAGTAACATTCATTATACTGTAGACTGTGGGCTTTCTAAAAATATAATATGCGTTTAATTACGAACGTCCTACCTATGGATAAATGATAAATTTTTCAATATCTCAAGTATGATTTCATACATACCATTGATTTTTAAGCCTCCGCATGCTCAATATATTTTTCTCTCATAAAATCGTTATCTCTGTTAGTTTTTTTTAATTTTATGCTGTAATTAATTTCAAATAATATATATAAATCAGATAGTACTGTTAAACAGAATATAAAATTATTTTATCGACATTTCCTCCTCACTACTGGGCATAACTTTAGCATCATAAAAAGTTTGAGCCCAAAATCAGATTCTGCGACCTGAAAAATCCTCCCAATGATCATTTTTGAAATGATAAGCGGTAAAATGTAAACATGACGATTTTTTATCGTGTTTTCCGTGGTTCGTATCACTGTGCAATGGTTGAAATTTCGGAAACTGAAGAAAGATTAAAAGCCTGCATATCGGTGAGACAATACTAATGCAACGATGAAACTTTCTGTATTTTTCGTTTTTTTACTATACAAATTTTATTAAAATATTGGTAAAAATATTGGCACTTGCCCCCTATCCCTGGACGGAAAAAAGTGGCTTTATCCCCACCCTACAATAAAAAAATTGGATTTTGCCTCCCCCCTATCTTTCCCAGAGTTACAAAATTTTTGGTTAATATTTAATATTGCAGTATAATTTGAAACACGACCAACAGCCTCTATTAATACTACACCCTTGCTTGAGCAGCGTCCTTATTGTGCTGATGGGTATATTTTGTGTTTCCATTATGCCGCGCGGTCTGTTGGCATGTGCCAATGACATGTTCCCATATGGACGGTTTTGCCGTTCAGCCTAAAGTCACCATTCCCAGTTGTACCACCTGTCCGGCCATAATCTGTGTACGTCGAACGCTGTGCGTCACAGGTATAAAAAACATTTTTGCGTGTATCTCTGACATTAAGGCCTACCGCCTATTACATGTAAAGGAAAAAATGCTCAAAATATTGACTTCTACAACATACGCCAAGGTCATTTAAATTGAAGAGGACTAAGTTAATCGTCAAGTTTAACCTCGGTTCTACTATTGACAGTGGAAAACATGACAACGTCCCACACATGGTTTATTAAAAATAGTCAAAGTGTTATCAAAGCATGTATAAATCAGAAAAATCATGATTTTGATCGATTTCTTTCACTAAAATTGCATTTTTCTTCAAATCTCGGAGCGCTTGACAAATTCTGCAGCAGATTTAAATGCCGTGTGTCAAAGTCGATAGGGAATGATGTATATGAATTCTGCAAAAGAAGAAAAACCGCAATTTTTTAAAAAAATGTCACGGTTGATATAGATTTTCAAGACCAAAACTTATTTGTGATACTTTTTCTATATTTTTTCTGTATTCTGCAACATCTTAGCTTTAACCCCGAAAAAGATTCATTCCTCTATTTTATTTCTATCCAAAGTTCTACGATTTTAATCCAAAAATGAACAGTTGTTTCAGCTGTACGCCACGGAGTGTTTACCTGAATTGCTGAACGCCGCGATATTTACCGCCCTCCTCCTACCATAATTTTAGTGTCCGCGAATTAAAGAAATTAATTTTAATAAGGATAGGTCAGAGAATACGTGCATATTTAAAAAAAAATTTGTAGTGTGAAATTTTGAATTTTGAAATTCTTACGAAAATCTTTCCTGGTATTGAATCTCCAACTTGATATTACGCACAGACCATTTTCAAGAAAGAAAGTGAAATAATTCGTTAATTATTAGGTTTACGGCTCATAAAGGTCAGTACTTTTTTACTCCAACTTTAATGTTCTTCGATATTTTGGCATAAAAAATACAACATTCCATTTAAAAAAACGAAGTTGACCTTTAAATCTTCGAAACGCCTCCACTTACAAAAAAAATATATGCATAGCATAATGTATCGCTCCAAACCATACAACTTTTATATAAAAAGTTTTTTCATACAATGCATATTTCAGAAGTTATTCAGGGTGAACAAGTTGCGTGGACCACCCTGTATATCTGTCTCTCATTTCATTTAATTGTTTTCGACGTGTGACGAACGTCTGACAAGCGTCTGCTTCCCGTAGTAATTCAGACGCAAACACTGGCGTCTAACGCTGATAGTACACAGTTGGAGGCCTAATGGATTTGTTGACTACTGTGCCGCGTGCTGACATTTATGACGTGACAGTCTTTATTATGTACACGACACAAAGCACAAACGTGTATACTTTTAATAGAATCACTTCTAGGGTCTGACTTTCTAATTTAAATTGTCGACAGCTGCAAGTACTGCTAATGGAAATTATCTCACAGGTCACAGGTAGCTGTTTTCAACAGTTTGTACTGTAAATTCCATCTTCAGAAACTCCAAGTGGACTAAATGTCTGTTTATTGTTAATATATACAAGAATAATTAAAGTTATATTTTCAAATTTCGATTTGACACTATACCCAATTTAAAAAAAATACCATTAGATTCCTTGAACCTTCAGCTTTAAAGTGTGCTTTTCAAAAAGATGGAGCGATTTCGGGAACATTAAAGAAACAGTTGTCATGCAGCGCGGTTGTAATATAGCGGGTGGCGCACAGTGGTATCGCTATCCCAAGATGCACTGTAAACATTTCGTTTGACCATCTCGACAATTTGTAGTTCTATCACTTATCGTAACATGTAGAAAGATATATGTACATTTTACACAACCTAAATTTTATCATCAAGAGTTTCATTACGTTACCACATTTTTTACCTGTTATTTTATGTGGAAAATTAATGTGATTTCTTTACTTCCGTAATTGATGATTTGGGTAAACTTTCGTAGGCACCCACATCCGATGACCCTAACTTTCACATATGTTATCAAGGTTATCCTAATGAGTAACCTTTGTAAGGTTGCTAGTTGACGTACCCGCTCTTGCGCGGGCTGCTTAGTTTATGAATTACATTTTTAGTTCGAAATCGTGGCCCTCGGCATGGTCGGGCCATGTACCGATGCCCATCAGTAGATAAATTGTTTATACGTGTATGAAGTAGAGTAGTTCAATTAAAGCAGAATGTTTTCTTTAAATAACTAAGTACGGCTCATTTGCAAGGCATAGTATAGTTTTCCGGTTTCGTAATATCAGCCAATTTAAAAAAAAGAATTTCAGTGTATTCATGGAAAATTTATTCATCCATCATTCATCCCTCATTTATCCCTGATCACCATTCACTGCCAATAATAACCAATCAACTTTCAAAAGTGCAACAAATTCTGCACTATATAATATTGTTTTAGCCATAACTTCACTTTCATAACACTATGCAACACGTACAATGTTTTGCAATTGTCAATAAGCGTTTCTGATAGACCTTTATGAGCTAAATACGAATCTGCAAACCGTTTCTTTCCAGCTTGTCCAGTTTTTGAAAAAAAATCAAATTTGAAAAAATTGCAAATTTTCAAATTTGGAGCTGTGTTGTGCTTTTACAGTCATAGTTATTAAGTTTCTTTTTACAGAAATTAATTTTCTGGATTCTTGCGAACAAAATGATATAAATTGTTATTAGATTACAGACGTCTAAATATGTTTAAATAATGTTCAAACCGAAAAGCACACGGAAAATACACCACTTTTCGCTGATATTCTTTAATTTATTTCAAAAACTGGGCGAGCTGGGAAGAAACGGTGTGCAGATTCGTATTTAGCTCATATAGGTCTATCAGAAACGCTTATTGACAATTGCAAAAACGAAAAAAAGTTAATTTGTTGAACAGTGTAATCAACAGGCTTCTATTCTAGTTCTGGATATTACGTTACTTATACAGTGAATATGATACAAATGTTCAGAGCTCATGTCCACCGAAGAAGAGTAGAAGTTTAGAATTTATATGCAAAAACTAACAAAAAAATAATTTTATTTATACATGACGCATCGTGGAAAAGTTTTCTTTTGGTGTAGTATAAGTCCAAAAGAACTGAACAATTTCTGTATTTAAAGTTTGTTCTATCTCGTAACGTTACAAAGTTATATTTAAAAAAAAACGCAAAAACATTCATGCGAAGGTTCTTTAAAATCAGAAGTTTCGGGTTCAGAACCTTCCTTCGCGAGTCCGAGTCGAAGAAAAGGACAGCGAGTGACATACAAAAAGGTAGTGATAGTCAAAACAGCCAACAAAATTTTAAAAGCTACGAATCCGTAAGAACATACCAACGCAACAATGAACTTTTTTTATTTGTGATTTTTTGTTCATAAAACTTTTATTCGCATAGTGGTGAGACTTCTCTGATTAAAATGATATCAAACATGAAATAATTTGGATCATATTTACTTAACACTAGAACTACCAAGCAAGTCAAAATGACTTGCCAATATACTCTTACAAGGATGATTAAAATGTTATAACAGTACAGTTTCTCAAATCTTTTGTAACTTTTATTACGATACAACATTAAAGAAATTAGTTAATTTATGAACTTGTAAATTTTCAAAAGATTGCCATATTTATCTATCGATCGAAAAAGATATGCGTTTATCGTTGGTAATTCTAGTGTTAATCAAGTGTTCATCATTCAATCTTTCATTATTACACTTATTAATTACAAATAATCAAAATTATATCATGTTTGGTACCAAAAGAATCTCACTAACATGCTAATAAAGTTTTCATTAATAAAGAATCAAAAATACAAAAGTTTTAAAGTTCCATTTGTATTGTCGCATCGACACACAGCCTTTTAAACTTTTTTGTCTGTCTCAGCTCACCGTCGATTCACGGACGGGAAGCGCACGTGTTTACATTGTCGCTCGACTGTTCCGAGGGAGATCCCGCCCGAATCGTCGAATACGCTCAGTATTTTTTACCTTACGAACGCCCCCGCTGGTAAATCAACAAATTTAGATAGCCTAATTAACGAAAGCTATGACTTTTTCCCGGCGATAATTTTGCAAGTTTCTGTACCTAAATTTTTCTTCGGGCTTTTTGAAGAGACTTATTCATTATCAGTAACACTGTTGCCCATTATTAAACTTCGGATTTTTATCTCAATAACGAACTACGATCACTTCTAGTTCATTTTTTGTTACATTACCATTTCGTTCATACATTATTTGAAAAGGGAATTTACAAATTCCTTAGCCT